ACAGAATTGGTTAAGATCTTCACCACAATATGACGCTGGAGTAACCGTAAAGCAAGTGATGGAAGAGAATACATTTATGGATAAAGTTACAAAAGGTATCTCCAGCATCACTTCTCGAGTTCTCGTTGTTAATTTTTGTTTTAGCATCTACATATATTTACTAATTACTTTTTTTGCTTGTTATTCTTTGTACAGAACTCCATGATCAATCATTCANGAAGGATGAAGAATGATACAAAAAGGAAGACTATTTTCACAAAATTTTATATTATTGGATTTTATTATGAATTGACATATTTAGGTGGTTTTCTTAATTTCTTTTGNCATCAAGATTTTGGTGGTTTACTTTATACGTTTACTTTATCTTGTTTTAACTATGGGTTTTTTTTTCAAGTTTTTCACTTATATAAATTTTATAAAATATGATTCAATATTTATCTTATAATTCAAAAATTTGTGATAATGAACTGAAAAAATAGATTAAATACATCTTAGTTGCAAGTTATTTTTTAATTTTGAGATAATTATTTTAAAATGGGAATTTCCGTTTCCGTCCCGCTTTATCCCGATCCCGTCCCAAATTTTAAATGGGATATAAATGGGACAAGTTTTTTATTCCTAAAATTCCCGATCCCGTTCCGATTCTGAAAAATCCCGTCCCAAATTCCCGAACGCCCACCCCTACAGCCAAGTATATTAATCTTGTCAAAACAATTATGTATAGAAGGGATGACGTGTAGAGTTTGTATGCATGTATATATAAATGATTGCTTCGTTCATTTTGTATTGGTAGAATTTAGGATAATGATTAGATTAGACAAAAAAAAATACCAATTATTATTAGGAGATCACATGGGAATGATTAGAAAAAAGAAAAGATTGGAGATTTCCTATCTCATTAGACCCAAAGTAAATGATAATTATGATCTAATAAACCAACCAAGATCGGCGGGAAGTCGTTAATAATTACCATAAGATAAAGTTGGTAAGGGCATTTCTCCTCCCTAACTATACGACTCCTTATTTCATTCATCTTTAATCTGATCAGAATTCTCATTTGATTAAGACAATACTTTTTTTTTTTGTCAAACGTTGTAAGTTTTATTCAAACTTCACCATCAAGAATAGCCAGAGCCAACAAAGTTCTTTTATCAAGAAAGCATATGATTGTTGGTAAACTAGCTAGCCAAACTATGAAAAAGAATGCGTAATATGTTTGCTTACTAGTTTGTATGCATAATGCATGTAATGTTAAATATATAAATAAATGATTGCTTCATTCGTTTTGTACTAGATTTTGATCCACGCCAAGCGTGAAATTAAATACTTAAATAGGTTTTTAATCGATCTTAATACTTAGAACGTACAAAATGATATATATTTTGCATAAATATAATAAAGTTAAATTTTGACCAAACATATTTTGATGTTATTGTTTTGATCAACTTTGCATAAAAATATTAAAACTAATACAATTGTTATTTATTTCAATTTTTGGAAGTGTAAAATCAATTTTTATTATTTGTGTAAATAAAACATGCATAACAAATAATAAAATCAATTTTTATTATTTGTGAATTTATCGGACATAACAAAAAAATATATGTTTTCCAATAATAAAATGTAAAAATATTTGTAAGTGTAGTTATCATCTACAAATAAATAATGTTGTTATAAATATAATAATAAAAAGTTTCTTAATATATCTAATTTTAGAAGAAAAAAATGATATGGTAAGTCTAAATATTATTTATAATTAAATTTAAATTTCTAACACATGTATTAATGGATTTATGTTATAAAATTAATAAAAACATATAGATTTCTACCATGATATACAGTTTTAAATTTTAATATAAATATTTTTATTGGTTAATTTAAATGACATGTTCTTTAAAAATAATCTCTACTTATTATTTTGTTAATGGACCATATCATTGTGAGTTTTAGTAATTTTCACTAAAAGTTTATTAAAACCATCTTAGGATGACACCTAGGATTTTTACATAGTGTCTTCTCTATTAATACATAGAGGATTATAGTTTAGGATTTTTTTATTACCTTTACTTGAATTTTTGTTAAAACGTACGTTTAAATTTATTTTTTTTCCCACAAAGATTCGAATTCTTTAACCTCATCAGAGATAATTTTTTGAATAGAACAGCGACCAAAAACACAAAAATCTCAAGAATAAATGCGTAAACATTGGGTAACAAAACCAGGAATATCAAATACAATACAACAAACAAGAAACTATATCTTGACAATATAACATTAATAGCTTAATGATCAGCAGACGAATCCCTTGGGAACTTTCTTGCCACAAGAGTTGAGAAGCAAAGTGAGAGCAACAGGAATTTTAAGTGGAGCGACTCCGAGAATGTTGGTTTTAAGAGCGGTGCATAAACAAACGGCGGCTTCAAGATCAACCACACCTTTGACGAGTGAGCAACACTCCTGACTCGGCGGTGTACCGATAGCCTCGTAAACCAGACCCAACCAGCTCCCACACACTCCGAACTTGACCGTGTCTCTCGGACATTTCATGGTGGCTTGTTTTGCCGGAGGAGGAGGGCATGGCTTAACGGCGTCACCATAGAAGAATGTTATGCTGAGGAATAGCAAGACGAGAACTAGTCTCAAAGGTTTCGAGATAACCATTATCTTTATGTTGAAGGCTTCAAGCTATGTCTACAATAGAAGAAGAAGAAGAGAGTAGAGAGGCCTTTCATTTGCTTTCTTTATCATCGCGTCTTTGTGGCTACAATTCTTTGCGTTATCTCTATTCCGTAAAATAATAACATTTCAAGATAACATAGATCCAAAGCTCAACCTACATTAAACAATCCAATTTCGTGTTTCTTGTTTGTA